TAGCTATCAGTCCCCCAGCATCCTCAAGACTGCAGGACTTACTGTCTCACTTAAAACAGTAGAAAATAAAATAATAAATAACTAAAATATTTTGTATATAATTATACGTGTATACAAGTTCAAAAGCAATTTCTATATGTCGGAAAAATAATTAAATTATTTTTAAAATGTGATGGACATTAAAAAAGAATTCAGAATACTCTTTAAAATACTCAAAATACCGTATTGAATACTTAAAAAAAGAATTTAAAAAGTATTCCGATTACTGTACAAGTCTGCGGCTTTATGGTTGGCCTGCGAGGTTTATGATAAGCGATAACAATGTAAAAATTGATTAGATTCGATTCGATACGAATTACGAGTAMATAAATTTCTTTCGATTCAATTAAAGTATCAAATATTGTATCGATACCATAACGTACTCGTATTGAAAAAAAATATCGATACTTTACTCATATCGATAGTATCGCAACGAATTTACATAATTAATCTATATTCTATTTCTATTGCAATCATGCTGATTTTCATTAYTATGTATATGTATCTATACATATTTATAATAAATCTATAAATATAGATTTACATTATAAATTTCAGTACTTAGTAGTAAATAGTAATAGTTGTAAATACAATACCTAACACAGTACCTATATTAATCACTTATCGTATCAATAAATAATTGATTCATTACCTTGTTTTTAGCACCATGTACAATGTACATATTTTTTATTATTTATTCGACCATCAAATCAATTACTATCAAACAGTAATTTTACGTCTATTCAATTAGAAAAAAAAAAGCTCCACATATCAGCAGATACCTTGCAGATTGGCAGATTATTAAGATGACGCCACATCCGCATTGACCGCATTATTATGAAACTTGATGGTAAGAACATTATCTGTGTTTTKTTGAAAGTTTTTTTTACGGTAATTCAGATTACAAATGAATTATGCGCGTATAATAAATTGTAAAATAAAAATGCTCATTGATCATTTAAAAACTGAATTATCGTAAAAAAACACCAAACAAAACACAGATAATGTTATTACCATCAACTTTCATAATAGGTCTATTCACTCTAATTTTTAAGCTAACGAAATAAAACGTGGACTGCTAATCGTAAATTTGCTGTGTTACACGTTTGTAACACTGAGACAACATAAATCGGGTGTGGAGTCCTCTCTTAAATAATACCAACAAAACTGTTAATATAATAATATTATAGGCATTCGAATTATTCAATCAACTGAACTATTTGTTTATCAATTCTGCAGTGAAACAAATAGTTAAGACGAGTGAATAAATGTGCTGCATATGGTATCCACGAAATTCGAGTTGAAGAAATAAAACTACCCACCCAAATAAAATACTAACCTCCAATTATGCGATGTCTTTGGTCCACGGTTCTGGACGTGTCGACGTGATTCGCCAAGTCGATGATCTCAGTCGAGTCTGCATTTTGCATTTTTGCTGCTGCGTGCAATGTGTAACCGGGTAGACAGGTAGAAAATATAACCGTTCTCACCCGGCGGTCTTTCCGCGTCTGACTCGGAGGGACGACTCGCGGCGACGACTCTACACGTCATATACGACGCGGCGGCGAAATAGCAAACGAAAAAATTGATCCGCTTATAAGCACTAGATACTATACAATAAGAAACTAATCCAAAACTCTCAATTGTAATCAAACGAAGACCAAAACGTTCTCTCTATTCATAATTAATATTGTATATTATTATATATTTGAATATTTCAAAACACGTATAGACATATATTTTATATTACTTTATATTTGTATTATCTTATTTTCATAATTATTATCATGCGAAGACTATAATGTATTATAGACATGCGTGACTCTATACAGTATATATAGGACACAAACGCAAAGTTACCATTCGAAACTTCGAACGTCTAAAATATTTAAAAACTTAACCGCGATGGGTGTGGAAATGACAGTCCTCGTCTTTTCGTTCATATACAATATTAATGAGATCAAGCCGTAAAATCGATTCRAATAGACCAAAAGGCTATATACATATTAGGTACCTGCATGATTTCAAAATAAATATAATATATTACGGAACAGAGCGACTAGGTGGACGCCATCATTTGGAAAAGGGCATATAGTATTGATCTAGGAAAAAACGAATATTGGGTACTGAAGCTACTTCATAACCGGTCAATAATTCGTGTGCCTAAAATGTAAAAATGTTCCGTTTATTTATTCATACTCGACTATTGTATACTTTTGCATTTAATTTTCCTGTCGAGATTATAAAGATAATTGGGTACCTACCTATAATTGCTTCATAATAATTTCAATAAGCCAATGAATTTTTACTTAAACTCTAGTACCTATTCGCATTTAGGTATTATAATATAACGTTACCTATATATTATTATAAAGTAATAAAAAAAGAATTAAAAAACAGTGTCGTTAAAAAAAACAAAAGCGCCAGCGGTAGGTATAAGGGGTCGTTCATGCTGAATTGCTGAAGTATTATTTTAAAGAAGTACCTACTCTGCTCCCAACACGTCATAAAGTTCAAGTACTGCATTAGTATTAAATTAATAAGGCTACGGCTACCCACATGTTATACCATATTAYCATAATAGATTCTTATTTATTTAACTACATATGTACTGTACTTATATCAGTAGGTACTTAAGCATGACAATATAATAATATTATGAGTAAAATATACAAAACAGGAAACTAATACATTTTTTAACCCATTATTTTAGTCATACATTTTTTCATAAATTGTAGAAACATCAAACGTATTATTTTATTGAATTTTAATTTGGCCTGGTTTATAATTCTACTATGTGGAGGTGAAGTATTCTGCTTCACATGGACACTTCGAAAAATACACTTCTGACTAAACATAACCGCACTAAGCAGGTATAATAATATTACAATTTAATTATTTT